TTGTGGGTTGCTTATTTGTGCCCTGCACCATATATGCAGCATAATCTTTTCATCCGTGTCGAATTCTTATTATAATTCGTTTATTATATCTATTTCAGATAAGGCACTGTTCAGTTAGTGGCTGTAATGTAAAGAAAAAGCAAGGCCTTATATTGTTTAAATTTTCAAAAGAACCAAAAAGGCGTGCAAAATGGATTTTATTAATGAACTGTCCAAATTGGCAACCTTATACAAATAGCACAGTTTGCGAAGTAATTAGAACAATTATACAATTTTATATATATATATATATATATAGTGATTTGCATTAATATTCGGACATTTAACAAAAAATATATTTTTGTATAAATTACATCTACATATGAATTAAATTATAATTTTAATAGTTCAATATTTTGTAGGGTATCATTTTGTGCTTCAACTTACTAAAAGAACAACATTTCTTACATAAATATACGGATTAATTTTTTTCAAGTATTATGATGTCCGAATATTAATGCGAGGCACTGTATTATTACATTATAAATTATAAATATACAATTAGTCCGTTTATAATTATGTTATAGACAGAACGAGCCCAAAACACTAAGATTCTTTACAAACTTCTTTATAGCTCAAAACCTTTAGCAAGCGCTTGCCAACGTATAGCTCCTGCTTCATTAGGTGTATCTCACAAACCATTTTTTCAAAAGTAGCAAAATCACTGTTATACTCCTCTTGACGATTTTTTAATTTTTCTTCCATTATTCTGGTCTGGAATTTGAGATACTATATTTCATCCGCCTTAGACGATGGAGCAAAGATGAGATTTAAATTGGAGCTCTGCAGAAAAATCAAGGTTAAGTAACAGTACTATAATAGGGTCGACGGATATTTGTAATTTATTTGAGATAAAAAAAACTGAATTTACCTCACACATATTCAGAAATGGACCAGCAGGTTCGCCGATATGACAGTGAAACAACTTGCTCTTTCTTCCTGCACAAAAGAAAATTATTGAAAAGCGTAAAACTTGGTAGGAGCCTAACCTCAAACGAGCAACAAGTCTCTCAATATTCGAAAATGTCACGTTCGATGCATTTCATTATTTCACTTCTTACATAAAAATTGATGTAATGTCGATACAGGTATTGAACTGCAACTAAGAATAAATACTTCCTTTAGTAAACAGCACTGATTGCGCTGGCTAAAAGTAGAAACACCATGGACTAGATAGTGACGGCAGCAAGGTGGGGGTACGATCACAAGATGGCGACGGCAGCAAAGTGGGGGTAAAGTTTGCGTTTCTCTACTAATATAGGACTCTAAGCTCAATCAGTTACGAAAGAAAGAAAACGTACTCTTCTCATCCGAAGAAACGCAGCAAGAGCGGCCATGACACTGAACGAGAGCGAGGAAGGAGGTGGGGGCGCTTTGAAAGTGGCGACTTATGCGTCGCGCCATCTGAATTAAACGATCGGGCGTTTGCAAAACGCGAAGAAATTCGAGCGCGTCAATTTGTTCTTAAGTTTTGTTACCAAAATTTGCTCAATATTTGGCATCAATTTGGTGTTAGGTTTAGTCAACAAACTTTAACAGCAATTTGGTGCCAATTTGTTATCAGGTAGTTGCTAAGCTTTGCTTGGTATTTGGCGTCAATTTGTTCTCAAGCTTTGTCACCAAAATTTGCTCAATATTTGGCATTAATTTGGTGTTAGGTTTTGTCAACTAATTTTAGCGGCAATTTGATGCCAATTTGTTATCAGGTACTACTAAGCTTTGCTCGATATTTGGCGTCAATTGTGTACGCATGTTTTGCTACGTATTTGCTAGCAGTTTGTCGACAACATTTGATAAAACAAATTTTGATGCATTTGTACCATTTCTGAAACCAAAATTTGTAGAAAGTATTTGGCATTATTTGTTCGAACAGACTTGGCTATTTGGGTATATACATATATATGGAGAAGTAAAAGTTATAGTAATATAGATGCAATCTATACAATATATAAATTGCATCTATGTACATACACGAGTCAATATTTTAAAATATTTGACTCACACTACTATGGCTTTCACCCCTCCCCATATACAATTAAAAATTACATTATTTCTTTGTCTGTATAAAGTTACAGCATTTACATTTTCAAAATAACACACACATATGTTCTAAGAAAAATGCCTTACAATTAGTATAAAAGCTCTTCTATATGTAAGTCCAATGCCATCTTCTTCTCAATTGAAAACAGCCTTGAATACTTCATTCTGTATATATGTTCTTGTTCAATTTTCTTGAATCTATGGTAAATACATATATTATGCAAAACAGCAGTAGCACAAATAATTGCAACCGATGTACTTAGTTTTGTTCTTAAACCATAATATAAGCATGGAAAGCGGCGCGGCGGTTCCAGTAATTATTTACAAAAAGACCCCACTCGCTAATGACCTTGATCTTGACACATGTTGTCAAGGTCACCCTCCTGACCCAGGTAGCAAAATGATACGCCAAAGATATCGAAAAGCTAACCAAAAAAGGACTGGGATGACTTTTTAGTTGGCTAAAAAGATTCCTCTTTGACAACAAAATTGTGTCTCATGTCTACATAAACGGCACGTATGGATGTCTATACGCTAACTGTCGATGTCCGTACGCTAACTGTAAGGCAACTTATAGCGTTTACCAAATTGGCAACACATGGTTAACCTGTATCAGCTGCCAATAGGTCAACGTAAAGTTACCGAATTGCTATACCAAAATGCTTTACAGAAATGGCCGTCATTCAACAGATGTCTTATAGATGTCCAAAAGATTAACAAAATGGCATTTAAATGGCACGAATAAATGATGTCCAAAAGATATCTTATTTATGGAATATATAGGACAGGGATAGGTGAACAATAAATGATAAAAGTTTATTGTTATCTGAAATATGTATGTATACAATATAAAGTTAATTGTGTTATCTAAAATTATGAGTACACAGTTAACAATCAACTAGTATATTTTATAATATAAAGTTGACATAATTATAATTAATATAATATATATTATATCAACTTTATATTATAAAATATACTAGTTGATTGTTACCTGCGTGTACTAAATAATTTTAGATAATACAATTATTAAATTTATATTGTGTACATCCATATTTCAGATAACAATAAACTTTTATCATATAGTATATAATATAATTAATATAAATCCATATTTCACATTATTTACAATATAATGAAAGTATTATTCATAAGACTTGTACATAAAGAAACAGTAGATCTTACATAAGCAAAACATAGTCTTGTATGTAAACAACATTATCAAAAATCTACTTATTTATATATTAGGAACTTATACCTGTAATATTTATCTTATTGAAAAAAAAAAACACCTATACCTATATTGATCTTATTAAATGATACCTATACCAATATCTTGACAGCTATATTTATCTTATTAAAAAAAAGCACGCGTAATGCATATACAGACGCAGATACAGTGTAATATACATATCTACCAAGTACAATGATGAATCACTGCTGAAGATTTAGACGTTCTCGACGTTTATTCTCAGCTTTTTTCCGGTCGCTCCCACGGTGAAGCCACTCGACAATTCGATCTTCGACAGCTTTGATTTTTGTCCCTTCAAATGTGTTACGTACAACATCTGAAAAAGTAGACTATGAGACGTGGTAGCTTTTTCACGGCGAAGAACTTAACAAAAGTGTTATATGCCATGTATGTACATACCAATTATGACATATGGAAACGTAAACTTGGAGATTTTTGGTTTGTTCTCAGCTCCGAGGGTTCCAACGACTTGTTGAGTTAAATCATCCGTCATAACTATTTCCATTGCATATTTAACGGTTTTTTGAACCGATTTTCCGCCGATGTCTGGAATTTTTTTCATCTAGAAAATGTCAACAATTTAAACAACTTAATTAAGATATTAACGAAATGATCTGATGTATCAGCACCAGTTTCACAGTACTCGCATATGTACAAATTGATCTCGCATTTGTCCATTGTCTTTGAGATCACGATCGAATCTTTGTAATTCGTTAATATCATTGAATGGCATCTGATGGGGCAGAAGTGCATAATGACGATCTATACGCTCCACTGGGTTATCATTTTTTCGCACTACTTCCAGCAACTCATTTACTTTTTGTAGAATTAAATCCTTAAAACGCTTTCGATCCTCTCTACAATTATCTGAAAAATAATATAATTAATACCCACTCGACATATGCTCACATATCATATTGCTGAAACATTAAAACGTTCAGAAATGGTGCAGAAATAAAAATACATATTATTTCAATACGTGCTTATTGTATATTATTTTAAACATTTCAGCTTTTATTTTCTGTCAGTAAGTGCCTAATGTCTCATCGGAAAACATAGCTTCAATTTTCGTAAATAAAACCCTCATTGTACAATTTCATGTACTCTGTGAGAAATGCTTGTAGAAATTCAGCAGCGGATGAAGGCTTTTTTACTTCCATGAAACGCTCCAATAACGAATGGTTCGACAAACTGAGTTCCAACAACTTTACCTAATATGGGCCACAACTGATTCTTAGAACTCTTTGATAGAGGTAGTCCATCGATGTTAATGTTAATTTGGAGAATCACAGAAATTTCCGTGTCAGCATTACGCTGCAGCAATACATTATAGTTTCTGTATCTCAACTGCTCTTTCAGTGCTCTCTCTAAGCCATATAATGAACATATATAAGTACATACTTCCAGCGAGAGCCTGTATATCAATTCTGTTTGGGGTGTCACATAATGTCCTGGCATCAAACGGAAGTTCAGGATGACCAAATTTCTTTAACCCTCTCAAAAGATCGTTTACAAGGAATTTAGGTATTTTGTTTTGGATTGCCCAATGAGCAAGAAAATTTTGAAGATCAGTTATACTAGTGGGACGAGTGATAATCGATTAAGACTGATTCTCCATCTGGATATCTGTATTAGTCAGTGTCGGTCTTTCATTGATTAATAAATTGAGATCATCTGCGTCATCAAAGCGTTCAAGATTATCAAAGAAATCATCAATTTGATGACAAACGTCATTGGGAATATTAGAAGCACGAGCTGTTGGCGGTGAGCATGAAGGACTAGACGCAGCATTATTCGCTGCATTTTCAAAATAATCGAGATCCGCTTGCACAAGGGTGCGGATTCGTCGCCTTTGCTGTCTTCGCGAGAGCTCAAGGAACGGTTTCCACCGTCTCAACGAAGTTCCCATGGCATAATCTAATAATGTATCAATTAACCCTTCAATTATTAAATGGAATTAAAACACGGAATAGATCAGTAATATTACTTTTTCTACTCACAACTTTTTCCGATGTAGAGAAAATACTTTATTTATATTATTTATTACTGCGTGTATAACTCGGTATAACTAAGGCTCTATAAATATGAGTATTCTCGTCCGCTTCTTTTCTTCCAATCATCTGTGAAAACATAAACTTTTCGTAAACGTCAATACGCTTTTCGGTCTCGCGATTAATGTAAAAATTTAGCTGAAGTATCGATTCTGTAAAATTGAAAATAAGTATTAATTGATTCTTAATTGATTAGACGTGTGTTCTTAAACGCGCAACAGTATAATTTGTTTTATAAGTGTCGTATTTATCGTAAATCGACACATCGTGACTCTGTTTCATTGTACGTATTTGGAGCAGTAATTTCAACGGCAGAAGGTATATTATTTAAATAATACTCATCGCGAAAAATTGTTTTCATGTTGCAGTTTTGTCACATTTTGACATATTTGTGTTTTTAGATTAAGTATTTGGCTGTTTGTAAAATGTCAACTGAGGACAATGAAAAAAATCCAAGTACGTCGCATCCTGGGCCAAATGTTGAGGTAATTGCCGCATAAATTCCTAATTTTTTCTTTCGTTTACTAATTTAATGCTTCATTTATCATATTTAATATACTTCCACACATTTCAGGACCCTAAGCTTCAAGAGTATTACACAGATGAAAAAATTGAAAGTTTGTTGGTCGAAAATCTCTACCTGAAGAGTCTGCTAAAAATGTCAACTAAGGACAATCAAAAAAATCCAAGTACGTCGCATCCTGGGCCAAATGTTGAGGTAATTGCCGCCTAAATTTCTAATTTTTTCTTTCGTTTACTAATTTAATGCTCTATTTATCATATTTAATATACTTCCACTCATTTCAGGACCCTAAGCTTCAAGAGTATTACACAGATGAAGAAATTGAAAGTTTGTTGATCGAAAATCTCTACCTGAAGAGTCAGCTGAAACGGTTACATCCTAAAATGTCAACTGACGACAATTAAAAAAATCCAAGTACGTCGCATTTTGGACCAAATGTTGAGGTAATTGCCGCATAAATTCCTAATTTTTTCTTTCGTTTATTAATGTAATGTTCCATTTATCTTATTTAATATACTTCCACTTATTTCAGGACTCTAAGCTTCAAGAGTATTACGCAGATGAAAAAATTGAAAGCTTGTTGGTCGAAAATCTCTACCTGAAGAGTAAGCTGAAACGGTTACATCTTATTTTGAAAATGTTCTTTTATAATCCGAAAGTTGCTGAATATTTACAACAGCAATGTCAAATAATTTATTTGCCTTTTTTGATTACTTTGTATCAAATAAAACTAGTGTACAAATAAAAAATTATACTTTGTATCAAATAAAATGATTTTGAACTGTATGAAATAAATTTCATTTTCCAAAAGATTGTTACTCCATAAATAACACTGAAACTGCATAATAATAATAATAATAATAATAATAATAATAATAATAATGTACATTGACTAATAAAAACTCATGCTCACAATATCTCCAGAGGAATTAATTTTTAAAAACGATACTTTATTTCATAAAATACATATTTATAGACCATATATAATATTTATTACAAAGTAACAAGCAGTTTCAAAGGGTTT